GAGCAGAAATGATGCCCTAATGGCATTCATGTTCATCAATTCATCAATTTCTCTCGCAAAATTTAACAAGATACCACATTTCCAGTAGCACTAAGAACAGTGTGGCAAAATGTCATGGAAAATGGCTTTGGTATCATACATACATATTTTGCTGTAGACTGGCAGATGTAATTTTACAAAGCAACAAATTACAAAGTACATAACAGGTCACTCTTCTTTTGTTTTCAACTGTAATCCAGATATGGCGTTTAAGTTTTCTCAATACCTGCGCACATAAAAACCATGCACCCGTAAGCGCTTGCGAGCAGAGAACCCAAACTTTCTATGCGCTCGCGTCTGCACCACACTCGCTCGCCCACTTGGTGTTAAATTAGTCTCAAAACCTGATCCACACGTGCGTATCAACATGAAATATTAAAACAGGATCTCTGAAAAATGTTAACTTAGTTTTTCTTGCTCTGATACCATGACAGAGCGTGAAACTGGGTGTTTTGTCATCGACTGGTCAGTGATTATTTTCTTTGTCTTCTTCCAAAGGAAACAGCCAGTCACATGATTCAAAGTTACAGATAAATGAAGTGGAGAAATCACTTCAAAGTCTCAAAACCCAACCTGCCGAGAGTGTTGTGTGAGCATGTAGAGTACAAGCACAAAGAGAGGGTGGGTTTTCTGCTCGCGATGCATTATACTGTATGTGCGATGTTGAGCGAGCGCTCTCAAGCCCGTTCCAGTTTATGGATCCACAGAATAATTTGCCATTCTCAAGCCTCGCTACTCTTATGTCCCCACATGTGCAAAACAGAATAAAATAAATGAATTAAATGTTCATCATGTAACAACATTTCAGTAACAAAGTTTCAGTACTATTTTAATCCTGATGTAAACGTATTTCATGTAGATGTTTCCAAATCATTATAACACTGAGAATGTTAGAATTAAACTAATGCTTGATTTTAAGTGATCAATAAATATCTAGGCACGACTTTGACAAGTTATCGCAGACAACTAAAAAAATAAAATGAAGATATAAAATGTTTAGATTTATAATACATTGACAATCATGAAACAGATTATGCACAAATATATGTGTAGGACATTTTATTCCAAACACATTAAACAGATAAACTTCACTTTGAAAACTCGTGAAACGGATGAAGAACATGTTTCTCTGTTGTCTGCAGATGCGTCAACACAACCGGAAGGGGTCTGAGAGCAGCCCTGAGAGCAGCAGGGCCTGAGAAAGGTGGCTGCAGCCGTACATTATTGCTGAGTGCCCGAGTGTTTTGCAGCGCGAGCGCATACAGAGGATGGGTTCTCTGCTCCCCAGTGCATACGTGCACATGGTTTTTATGTGCGTGGGTTTTGAGACTAATTAAATGCCATATCCAGGATCCAATTCAATTCAATTCGTATAGCACATTTTAAACATTACATTGCCTCAAAACACTTCACATTATTCCTGCCCAATCCCAACATTTGCAATATACAGCAAGCCAGAGGCGACAATGGCAAGGAAAAACTTAGTAGGAAAAAATCTTAGGATAAACCAGACTCAAAGGGGGAGCCCGTCCTACTTGGGTCTGTAACTGAACTGATTAAACTTTGTTAGCGAATACAGTGTTGGGCTTATTGTACCATGGGAAATGTACAGTACTTTGCTTCAATAATACTGTGAAAAGAAAAAAAGCAATACCGAATGGGAAAATAAGTTGGTGCACAAATTAAACATTTATCCACGTATTCGCTGCATAGCCTAAACCCTGCTACCAGTTAAAATAGGCCACGCATTAACCCTTTCCCAGCTAACATGTCCATGTGGGCTTTATGGGTTGTAACTGAGCATTGGTTTAGACTGCGCAATTCAATTGGGACCCATTAGTGTTAGTCATCCGGGTCACATATGGGTTGGCCCATTTGGGTTTCCTGTGTAGGACCCATATAGGTTTTATCAGGGCAATCACATTTGGGTTACATAGTGGCAGGCCCATATGGGTTACCTGGGTAGGGCCCATATAGGTTTTATCAGGGCAATCACATTTGGGTTACATAGTGGCAGGCCCATATGGGTTACCTGGGTAGGGCCCATATACTGTAGGTTTTATCAGGGCAATCACATTTGGGTTACATAGTGGCA